TATATTTATATTATGCTTAATTTATGATTAAATAGTGTCGCTATTTGACTAAAAAATCAAAAGATTAAGAGTTTTTAAGAACGGTGAGTGTATTTAAGTTAGGGATGTGTACGAGCAAGGTCGAGCCAATTTTCATAGGACTTGGCCCGACTTGTTCTTAGATTGAACTGATTTTTGTTTCAAATGGCTCACTTTTGCAGATCAGAGGATTCATTAATTTTTTAGAGAGAACGACACAGTTCATTAGATTAGCAAAACATTTAAAACAAAGTTTGAAGGGATTTGACGACCCACAAGCAAGATTGCGCCTCAGCCCGCCTCGCCAGCTTGTGGGCAACCTTGTTATCTACATGTCAAACGAATTTAATCGAAATAAACTCAAAGCAAGCCATAAGCAACATACAATCCTCAATGATAACGCGAAAATACAAAGCATATATACGAGACACAACTGCCTTGTTGGATCTTATCTGATATGAATGGATTGATTTAAATTAATATTAAAATTATTACAATAATTTTATTACTATCTTTTAACATTATAAAGATCATTCATATAGTTATTAACTATTTCTTCAACAGATAATACACAAGTATTTTTATAGTAGATTTGTTATCTTTACAAAAAAAAAAAGCAGTTGGATAAAAAATAAAAAATGTAGAAGAAGAAAATTCTTGTGCAATGGGTCTTTTGGAAATAATAAATCTACTTCTAAGTGAAAAAAATAGGTCTATCCAACGGGCCGAAGTAATGTTGTAAATGGGATTCGGCCAGACTTGTAAGAACCAATAAACTTATTTATCTGGTGTACGGTCGTGGCAGGCGGGCTGGACAAGATTTATATAAACCAACAGACCCAGTAACAAGCCCAACACATTAGGCATGATGGGATCTGTCCCGACTGTCTGTATTAGGATCCGTTGCATAGGATTTATTTTTTCTATTTATTAATTAGATCATGTTCTTTTCACTTGATCTGATTGGTTCACATCTTATTAGAATATGTTTTGATCTAATCTCATCTGAATGTAGTTATATTTAAGTTATCAAAAATGCTAGGGGTACACCATTTGGGGTACCCCATTTGTAACCTCTCTATCTCCACCACACAAAGCAAGAGAGAGAGAAAAATTAAAAATAAAAAAATAAATGAAGGGCTAGTATGAATGGGGTACAAAATGGGGGACCCCTAGCATTTCTCTTCATTTTTGGTCTGGTCTGATTTATAATAAGAATAAGTAATAAGTAGAAAATGAATTGAGGAAAACTTGACCTTATTCTTATTAAAATCAGATCAGATTCAATCAATCAGATCCAATATGATCAGACCACATCAAATCAAATAATATTAAATCAGGACAAAAATATAAAAATAATATTAATATTTTTCAAGAATTAAATAATATTTAATATTCTATTAAATCACATTACTCTATTTAAAGCTACACATGCCTAACTCTTAATTAATATTATAATTTTAAGTATGATTATTGTTATTATTATTATTATTATTTCATCTACAAACTATTAATACTAGTAGTTGCTTAGCTTGTAGGAACAATACATGGGAGCGATACTGAGGTTTAAAAAGTTATATTTTTTTATACTTTAAAAGAGCTGTTTTAAAATACTTTTTATAAAAAAACTATGCACAAGACTTAATTTTTAATGTCATACAAATTTTTATACTTAAAAAGACCCATTTTTAAACTTATAAATATTATAATATACAGAAAGATGAGTTCATGACAAAATTGGTAGAGGTGAAAGGAATATTAGCGTTTAAGATTTTATGCGATGTATAATTTATAATATGTAATATATTATTATGTAATATGCAGAAAAAATGTATTATTTTTGTAGAATAACATCTATATTTTCTAGTACTTGGTTATTTTAGTATCGAGTAATATACACTCCCTTCACTATATAAAGAAAAATTGATTATTCAGTTTTTACAGAGAATAAAAAGAAAGTAGTGATATTGAAAAAATCTTTAATACTCCCTTCGTCCTAAAACTTTCTTCCCGTTGCGCAAAACGAAGAAAAATCCCAAGTTTTTTTAATCTATTTTATTTAAATATTGGTATAGAAATAAAAAATAAAATATACATATTTAAAAACTACATCAAAAGTTCAACAAAACAAGTGGTGACAAGAATATTTTATTTTATCATATAAGCCATGAAAAAACACAAATAAATATTATATATTCTCAATCTCTCTACAACCCTCTGGGCCGCTAATGCAATCTCTCTACAACTCATTAGAAAAATATTATATATTCTCAATCTCTCTACAACCCACCCAAAAAATATATATATCCTATATCTAAAAAATGGGACCATCTTCATTTGACGATGAGTGAAAAAGCTTTCATGTTTCGTTCTTTCTCAGGAGGATGTTACTAGTGGTGGCAACAATCACAACAAGAGGAAATGGAGTTGTCAATGTGCTCAACTCGACAAACTTTCTATGTGAGATTTTGAATAATATAAAAATTGAAAATTGATATAGATAATATATTAATATAATATATTCATATTTTTATTTATAATATTCTAATATGAGTAATATATTATAATTTGTGAAATTATTTTTATAATATTGAATTATTAATATATTATAATATATTTATAACATATTAATATATTTATATAAATAATGTGAATATTTAAGATACTAAGAGATTTAAAAAATAGTGAATAAAGAGATTGAAAGAATGGTGTAATTTTTTTGGAAAAACGAGAGTTTTATATAGTTTTTTTAACCCCCAGCCACTCNACCCCCCCCCCCCCCCCCCCGACAACTTGCTTGCTTTTTAATTCTTAAAACACACATGGTCAGGAAACGGAACCAACCTCGTAACCGGTTAGCCAGTTCCAAGAACACTCCTCCCCTCTCCAGAATTGGTACCGTGTTAGCAAGTTCTTGTACCGGTTCCCACCCATTGCCGTGCCACCATCATCGCTAGTCCGGTGCCAGAATCACCCGCACCGGTTCAGAACTGATCCCGAGTCCAGGCATTGGTTGAAGATTCTGATATACAACGTAAAAAGTGTTCTTACAGATTATACGAGTAATGTAGTTTATAAAGAAGTTTTTCAATAATTGCAATTCATTTCATATTCATACACAAAGAAAAAACTTAATAATATAGTCTATTTCTATTCTTTGATAATAACATCAATATATTTTCAAAACATAAATACAAGTCGTACAATACAAATATGTGATACTAGTCATGAATCAATCTAAACAACTTAGAAATAAGCTAATGGAAAATGTAACCTCAGTACATTAATATAGCACATCTGTTCCTTTAAAAAAAATTGCACATGTGTTACAAGAGGTTTACTTTGTTACTTTATTGTTTCAATGCCTAATTTTAATTTCAAAATTATTGGCGTCAACAAAAAGGTGACACATAAATATTTTCTTTTTAAGTATTGTGCTGAATATCCAGATGGTCAAGTTAAAATGCAAAAAATGTAAAATCTCCACCACGAGGGTTCCTCACCCTTGCATTGGGCTGCTAGATGTATATCGTGAGATGTGTCTTAATTTACCAAGGATAACAAGTTTGTCACCGCTAATCTCACGATACAAGAGGCCTAATATAAAGGGTTGCTTCCAGGATTCAAATCCTCATCATGTAGGTTACCAGAAAGGCTTCAACCGATGCCTTTACTAGTTGAATGTGCTCGATGAGCAATAATGAACACATTTTTTTGGTTTATGGCGACATGAAACACTCAATCCAATAAAGCTGCATTCAGAGTAATGACATGGCTATGTTGGGAGTCAACTCAATACTCTATCCATTCCTTTTTAACTAGTTTGATTTGCTTTATAAACCTAAAGTTTTACTATAAATATCTCTTAAAATGTATTAATAAAAAATTATTAAAAATAATACGTTAAATTCTTTTTTTATATCAATAAATTGGTAAAAGTTTTTTATTTTAATTCATTGCATATTTTTATATATACTCAATTCAAAGGTTTGACACCTGAAATGAAACACAACATTAAAAAAATGGAGAGAGTGAATTTGATCCATTTTAATTGTAATTAAACATTAGATGTCAACTCTAATCCATTTTTTATTGGAAACAAAAATGTTAGGGAACATCAATATGATCCAAAATATCACATAAACATACACAGACACTAGAGTTTGTGCATGTACTGACCTTTGTTGTTTGTGTAATGCTTGAGATCAAAATCATTTTACCGTTTTAGTGTCTCTTATCACAATCACCGTTGAAAATTCACCCGAAAAAAGAATGTGATAACCCAACTAAGAATTGAGGTAGAACTCGTGTGAAATGGGCCATGGGCTGCTATGACCTGAAAGAAGCCCATATGATGACTATGAGTGGAACATGCTTAGAGTGTAATATGTAGTATTGTGAAATGACACGGTTTTGGAGGAGTAGAGCTGAGTTGGCAGGGCGAGGCACTCATTTCCCTCGCCGCTGCTCATGCTTTAAGTAAGCCATGTGTTATAAAGACACATGGAGGGCTTGACCATCTCCTTCACGCCCCTACACCCCATTACACCTCTTCAACGAATGGTGAAACCGTAAAGGCCATCACATTTTTTAAAATATTCAACTAATCAAAATTTAAACATATTCATGTCAACCGAACAAAATTGTTTACATATTCACCCATTGCTTGGCGGTCAAACCTTTCAGAGCATAAAGTACTCATATATTACTCACACATCGTTTCAACCCATACGTGACACTTCATCAAACTTTGCTATAATACATGACCTCATGTGCAAAGATATAAAAATATAAAATGAGCATTATATAATTTGTAGATATTTAAATTTATTTTATGTACAATAAACACCTATATCATTACTTCTTTTTGTCATCATTTTTTATTTGTTTTTTGTTTTAAACTTATTTTATTTTATTTTTGTGCGTTCAAATGCATAGTAAACCGCACTACATTGCAAATTTCAAACTGTGTGATTCAAGCAGAGAAAGGAATCTACTTTAAGAATATCACCCCACCAAAACAAAGGAATTCCGCGCCATCGCCAAACCCATGGCTCTCTCAGCCCCGCCGGCTCCGCCTAACCCTTCCCCCTCCGCCGTGGCTTCCTCCGGCGCCACCGCGACCACCACCACCGCGACGAGACCTCTGTATTCCAACTCCCGACCGCCGCTCACCGTCCAGCCCCATCCTTTCCCCCCACAGCCCCAGCGATTCCCTTCGAATCAAAACCCCATCTACTCCCAATTGGCTCCGCCGCAGCTTCAGAGCACTCTCTACTCCGTCTCCTCCTCTGGCCGGGGGTATATTTCCGGCCCCGCCGTGCCTTGTCCTCCTCCTAATCAGAATAATTACGTTACCCGACCTGCTGTTGGGTACGCTACCTCAATTCCGCCTTTTGGGGTTTCTGCTAATACGGATCCGGGTTCAGGGCCCGGACTGGGCTTCGTCAGGCCTTCCAATTTGACCCACGCCTCCGTCACTCTTGCTAATTCCACTGCAAATGCCGGGACTTTAATACCTGTGGTCGTCCAAGGATTTCCAGTTTCTTCTGCTCATCAGAGGGTACTCCCCTCCTCCCATGAATTTAACAATTGTATTGGTTTGCAATCTGTATTTGGATGTTGTCTTTAGAATTTTGATGTTCTTGTTGAAGGTGTGTTACTGCATTGTTCTGATGTGTGAACATATGTGTTCTTCTGGAAAAGATTTGTGTAAAAGTTTTTATTTCCACCAGATCTTGGTGGTTAAAACTGTAATGGCCCGCTCAACATTTGTATTGTGAGTTGGAAGGCAAATGTCTGTAGCAAAAGGTTGAATCCCCAACCCCAAGGCCCCCCACACCCCGGCCCGATGGAGTAGTTGGAAGGATGTAAATCAGGAGCCCAATGGCCTGTTAAAGGGGGAGGTTTCTCCCACAGCTGTGCAAGGAGCCCATCCTTAAAGCCCCAAAAAATGGGCCGCAGAATGTTGCTTCCACACTACATGCTGCGGGAAACAAACCTTGCCCCTTGTAGCAATTCTACCCCTTCCGGAACCAACTCCACTATGCCCAGCGGGCATAGGTAAATGTCTTCTGGAATTGAGAGGACGTAGTAATATGACATTAACTCTTTGATCTATTCATAAATAGTCTTTGGAGATAGGAAAATGTTATTTTAAATCACCAAAATGTCAAATGGGGCTTTGTATATGCTTTCCTTTCATAGTTATTTTATGATATACTCAGTAGTTTGTCCTTGCAACAAGAAGCTATTTAAAGTAGAGAAACATATAACTTAGTTGCTCTCTTTGATGCGATTTTGATTGGTAACAGTGAACTGGTCATTCTAAGTTTCTAAGGCATTTCCAAATTATTATGCTAACCGCTGAACGATTAACCTGATGTCTCAATCTGTTCTATAGCTGGCTCCCGCAAAGCCTTCTTTTGGCGATTTGAGTGGCTCCAAAGATGGAAGGTAGAGACCTTTTTTTTCATCAAGTTTTTATATGCCATGCTGTACTTTCGGGTAGGGCCAAGGCCTGCGCACACACATTCTCCCCAAACCCTACATTTGTGGGATCCAACTGGGTTGTTGTTGTTTGTTGTTTTTATATGCCATGCTCTATGTATATTCATTCGGAAAATCTTACTTACCCAATATGCTCTTTTTATTGCAGGGATAGAAGTAAAGATGATTCTTTGTCAGTAGTTAGAGATAGGAAAGTAAGCATAACACTTCTTATGGGTTGGTTTGTGTAAATTTGTTTCCTTCTTTGACTTGAACAATCACAAGGAATACTTGTTTTTAGTTGGTTGTATAGATGTGCAGGGAAATCTTTCTTTCTTAGTTTCATGCTAATGACAAATATGGACTAATACGCTAACCAGACAATGTACATTGCTTTGACAAGTGCTGTTTACATCATTTAGTCTTCTACGAATAAGATGATCTCTGAAAATAAACAAACACCTTGGTGCTCACTCCACACTTCATAGGATTGAGAACATGTTCATACGTTTTTGTCACTTTCAACAAGTGATAGCTTGCAAATAAACTGTTGCTTGTTCTATTTGGTGTACATGGGCTATGTGTTGTACTGTGGTTGTTTTACACCCTCTTGCATCGTCTCTAAAGAAATAAGTGAAAACAGTTCACTGCATTAAAGCATGCATCACATTTCCGTTTTTTAAAAGATCTATGACACACAAAATCAAATTCCTTTTTATGCATATTGTATCATGATATGCTGTAATGAAAATTTTGCTTAACAGTAAGAAAATGTTGTGCCAATATATTCCGCATCTTATCGTTCTGGAGCATTTGAACGTGTTTGGATGGATCGGATCATAGATATGTTTCTTCTATTTGTAAAACACATTGTACTTTTCATATGCAGAGCAGTGAAACTTATATACGATCTTTAACAATGCGTCTTCTTTGACTGGGTGCACTCTTGCAGTATGTGCGTGTTTATGACATCTGTTCCTTTTTGTAGCTCAGACATGGATAGCTCTGATAGTAAAATTTGTTCAATATTGCAGGTCAGACTTACTGATACTGCTTCCCTCTATACGTTATGTCGGTCGTGGTTGAGGAATGGTTTTCCTGAAGATACCCAGGTCTGAAAAGCTGAAGTTGTTTTTCTTGTCCTTTACTAGACAAGTTCAATTTACTTTTTTTCCCCTTAATTTATCATCGACAACTATATTTCTTTAGAGTTTGTGACACGTACCTCAATGTAATAGTAATTCTTTTGTTTTTCCAATTTAATAATGCTATATCCATGTGGCAGCCGCAGTATATGGATGCTGAAAAGTCTCTTCCTAAGCCATTAGCTGTGGAATCACAAGATGCTCAGTCACCTGAGAAGAAGGAAGATATTGCGGGACAAGAGGAGGTCAGTTTTTTATTATGAGCACTGACACCACGAGTTTGATGCTAAGGTGAATGTTAGGTGCCACTAGCTAAAAAGCTACCTTTTAAACTCTTTGATAGCTGCTAGCTTTTGAGGAGTAGTGCCTAAACAGTAAACACACAACTATGGGTTTTTCACACCGCAAGCAACTTTTTTTTCATTTTATAAAGGAGTAGAGCCTTGGCTTCAAAATAGGGTAAATAGCTGTCCAGTATCCATGTAGTATTCAGAAAAAGCTGGACAATTCTCAAATAAGCTGGCTTGTGAAAACACACTATTAGGGGTTTTTGAAGACTCATTTGATTGTAGAAAACCTGGAAGCTTCTTATTCATGCATTTCAAGCACACGATATGTAATAACTAAACTGTTCTTTGTATTTAGTCTGCTTGGAATGAACGAGAATCTTCATTTTTCTCTATCCTATACTATTAAGTGCTAAGTATCTTGAAAATGCATATGAACACATTAATGCTCTTCTAAGAACAAAAAACCTAGTGACTTCCTTAACCATATGTCTAAACTCTTTCTAAACGAAGGTACATTTAAATATAATGATCCTCACAAATGACAATCCAGTTTCCTCCATATGGAAGAGAGTAATAATGTTTTTTCAAATTTCAGGATGATGTATCGCTTGAGCATCTATCTACAGAAAAGCTGTTGCAAATGCATGTCAAGCGTGCAAAGAAAATTAGGTCAAGGTAAGTTAAATAATCATTCATGTTTTTATGATTAGATTATATTTGACTTCATTGGCCTCTTCAATCCCCCACTGTCCCATTCATGAAGGGGTTAAAAGAGCCAAATTACAAGAGGATAGAAAATAATCAAATATGTAGGGATAATAATTGAAACATTTTCTTAACACTTCATCTTATTTCTCTTCTCTATTGGGTGAGTTTGAGTAATATATGCTAGTATAATCAAATTCGTTATGATTGGAGTATCTTTTGACTAATTTGCCTCCCCATTCTACACCATCTCATCCATAAAGAGGGAAAAAGAACCAAATGAGAATATGATAGAAAATATTATGGAACAGATACTTGAGTTTTTTTAAATACGCTTCAAATTCTCTATGTGAATGGATTCAAAATTGTGGAATGTGGCATTTGTTGCCCTTTCTATCACAAGAAAATGGATTTAAAGACGAGTATACTCTCACCCGCCCAACACAACAAAATACTACCACCCTCCCATAAAAATCTTCTTTGTTTGACTTTCACGGATTTAAGAAGTGTTAAAACGTAAAAAGAGTGTGGTTGGAAATTGTTAAGAACAAAGAGAAATTTTTTGGGCCACATATTATATTCCTTAAAGGAAAGTAATTTTTTCGGGATGGATGAAAAAGGAAAGATTGAAGATCTTTGCAAGGAGGGAGTAGTATTTATTTTTCTCCCTCCACATGGAAGCAAATTTTCTCACTCCTTTCTTGGGTCAGTCAACAGTTTCAGGTGGGAGAGAATAGGCCAGTGAGTCTATCTTTTGTAAACTGACTACACCCCACTTTCCCCTTTTTCCTTTTCTTCCATTTCCGTTCTTTCCCCTCTTTTTAGGTTTTTATTATGCAAAGGTTACCTTTTCTAATTTACAATGCAACAAGCATTTCTGTGCAGTGGCTGGTAATATGCTATTGAAGTAATAACGTGACATATCTTGATGTGACTGATAAATCTGCAGATTAAGAGAAGAAAGGCTAAAGCGCATTGCTAGATATAAAACAAGGCTTGGTCTTCTCCTCCCACCTATGGTAGATCAAACGCAACACACCGGAGGATGAATAGGCCCCTTTCCACACAAATCTTCCGCAGCCCACATCGTAACATTGAGGTTAACTACTAAACCTGTGGAAGTATTAGAGTATTTGTATTGTCTTCTTTTTCGGTTAATGGTGTGATTTCTTTAACTGTGACAGTAACATAGGTCACTAGCTTTTCATTGGGGGGGCAAAGCTTGTTCATGCTATCAGGTAATTTGACTTCAGATTGTGGTCACTGGTCAGTTTAAGAGTTGTCTAAAACTTAGGGAAAATGCTTATCAACTTTGGTTTGGGGTTTTCGTCTCGCGTTTCCTCAATCTTGTATACTATACAGATATGAGTAATTGATTATTACAGAGTTATTATTATGATTTTAATATAATTTGTGGGGGGTTTTTGTATATTATAAAGCATCTGTCCTTGTTTTTTGCTCTTTACTCATGGCTACATCATCCGTGCTTTGCGTCTTTTTTGTTGGTTTATGTTGACTTTGCTCGAGCCTGAGCTCTTTTAAGAACAGCCTCTACTTCTAAGTAGGGGTGAGGCCTGTCTCCCGACCTTATTATGGATGACTTGTGTAGGATACAACAAGAAACCTAGTAAAAATCTCTCGAATAAAGTCCGAGAAAAGAGTGTATGCACATGTTTCTCCGTTTTTATATAGGCAAAGTTGTGTGTTTTGAAAAATACCTTTGAAAAAATTAGTTGTTTGCCAAAATGTTTGTCTATTCTTTGGTTTATTCTTAATATATACTCTGTTTTTTAGCAATATGGTTTTTAATTTGATTTTTTTCGTCAGAAAAGAAGGCCAAATGCAACTGTGGACGTAAGGTCCACTTCATTTTAGGTGAATCTTTGTATAAGAGTGTATGTTTATGTGAGAGAGTCCATAAAAAATAGTGTGAACTTAAGATTTTTGGGCCGGGCCCGAATGATTCAGTGAGATTGTAGACTTGAGTAGTTGAGTACTATTTTTATTTTTTTAATGTCATGCAAGTATTTTAAAATATTCGTAGTTTTTATTTTTTGAAATTTATACGCGGTCACATTTACATTTTTTAAATTTGTCTTTAATCCGTAAGATTCAATTAACATTTTCTTCTTATGTGTTGACGCGGATAATAAATTTTCACTTTTATTACTCCCTCCGTCCCGATTTATATCGCCCGTTTTGACTTTGGGGTATATTTAAGGATTGGAAAAAATGGCATTGACCTTCCAAAATTGCCCCTCTATGCAGTTTTTGTGTTTTTGATAAAAAAAAAGAGTAAAGAACACAAATAAGAAGGAAACCGCCACTTCTGGAGTAAAAAACACAAACAAGCATTGCAAGTACAATAATCATTACAAATATCTAATCTAACACCAAACACATCAACACATCACATCTTTGTCTTGAAGGGAAAATTTCCCTCCATTTAATTACACAAATGCAAACAATATTTAAGGACTACATCCTGCACACTCAAGGAGTACATCCTGCAAAAAAAATCTCTCCAGTTCTTCAATTCTTCATTCCACAACATGAACAGAGATGCTGCCATGGCATCTTCAGTTCTTCATTCCACTCCATGTCTTCACCCACACACCTCCAGCAGTGCACCTGTCCAAGAAGAAGAAGAAGAAGAAGAAGAAGAAGAAGAATTGGTACAACATGTGGCAGAAGCATATGCTAATTTGGATGCTAAGAAACTGAATAATGTATGGATCAGTTACCAGTTAACAATGATAGAGATTTTGAAAGTACAAGGAGGCAATAACTATAAATTGGCACACATAGGTAAGGGCAGACTTGAGAGAGAAGGTACACTGCCAAACCAACTCGATGTAAATGTAGAACTTTATGAGTCAAGTCTGTATGCCTTACAAGGTGTCCAATGTAGAAATGGGGAAGGGAGTGCATCAGGAACAATCTAAGTGATATCGTCTTTCAAATGTCTTTTGTTTACTATGTTCATCATATGCACTTTTTTTGTTTCTTTTTTGGCAGTGTGTATAGACAGCCAATGTATGCAAGCATTTTTTGGATTTTGGATGTATATATGGATAATGAACATGTTTGCGGTTACAAACACCAAGCACATAGTCCACGCATCACATTCGAGTGCAAATTATCATCATTAGTTTCCCATATAATCTGAACTATAGAGTAATGCAAAGGAGGCACTTAATAAAAATATTCTACGCACATAAGAAAGAGAGGAATACTCCCCTAGAAGTCCTTGTGGCGCATCTTTGGATCCGAGAATAACAACTCCCATAGAACATCATCCCCTTCTTCGTAAATGTAGGAGTCAGAATCTGTGTCATCATCATCCTCCACATCCTCAACATCCACATCCTCTGTACTAGCAAGGGGTGCTGTATTAGCAACAGGGACATTAGTATAATACGCCTCAACCTTCTCTCGCACCATTGACAACTGTTTTTCAATGCGAATCTCATCAAAAACAGCTTCAAGCTCCGATTCATATGAATTTGGAGTGCTATAAGCAGATGAGAAATCATTTTCTTCACTATGTTCATACATGCCTTCGATCTATAACAAAGGGCAAGAATACATAAATTAATTGATTAAATATGATAAATTTAAAAGAATTAAATAAAAATCCAGACCTACTAACCTTAGATGTCGAAAAGGATCAGATGTCCCTTAGATCTAAGTTTAGATCTAAGTTTCGTAGATCTAACACAGTTGAGATCTAAGTTTAGATCCGAATTCAACAATGAACGAAGAAGAAGAACATAGATTTGAGAAGGTGGAGGAGCGAGAGATCGAAATTAAAGTGCAGGCGAGGAGCGAGATAAGGTTTACTATTGAGCTTCACAGGAACTAAGAAGATTTGAGAATGTGGGAGTTTCACAGGAACAGATAAGATTTGAGACGTAAATGGGAAAATGGGTTGAGGGGTGGGTGGGAGATGTAAATGGAAAGAAGGGTATTTTAGGAAGTTTGTTTATAAAATCTTACCAAAAATAGAAACAGGCAATTTATTTTGGGACGGACGAAAAAGAAAAACAGGCAATTTAAATCGGGACGGAGGGAGTAGTAACTTTGTCAATTTTAATGCGAGACTTTTTAGTGAGATAAAAAATAAATATTCAAAAAAATGAAGATTTTATGGATGAGGTGAAAAATGAGAGGAAAGAAAATGAAAAGAAAGAAAATGAGGAAAGAAAATAATGAGAAAATGAAGAGAAAGAATTTGTATTTGGATAGATAGAAAATGATAAGAAAACTAGCGAGAAAAAATGAAAAGATGATGAAAATGTATTTTCTCATCCTTGTTGATAAGAAAAGTTATAGCACGAGTTCCACACAAATTTTTACTTTAGTTACTTTTTTCTTTCTCATCCTAACATATAAATTATATTATAATTTGTGTTTTCTCATCTTTTTTTTTCTTCTTGCCTATTTGTCACCAACAAAACAATGGATAAATCTTTAGAAAAGTCATTCACTCCTTTGGAAAATAATTTATTACGGAGTAATATAGAATATACTTCGAAGAGTGCTTCTATAGTGTACCTTGGGTGCATATCATTTTTGTAGATTTTGTCACATAATTTTTTTTATTTAAAAAATAAATGATTATTTAAATAGAAAAAAATCCTTATTTTGATCATATATAGGTTCATTGTGGACCTAAAGTCTACCATAAAATTTGCCTACTTCGAATATCTTTTTTGATCTAAAAAGGCTATTTTGATCATATGTGTGTGTGTGTGTGTGTGTCCGTAATGGATCCCCATTTCATCCCCATCATTTTTAAATTTTAATTTAAAATAATACTCTGTACTACTTTTATAACATTTTATTGATTTGATTTTATTGAGTTGACAACTAGACCATTTTGAATATAATTGTTTGGCAACTTGCCAATGAAATTGACACCTGAGCGGTAACACCTAAAGGATTAGGAGCCCCTAGATGAGCAATCAAGTTAAAAGAGCTCAGGACTGTTAGATATACTTTCCAAACAGACAACCGAGCTAAAGATTAGGGCCGCTAGAAATGAACGTCTAAATAGACACATTTGACAAACTAGTTGAGCCAAAACTTGCTCCGATACTATTATAAAATTCTGGTAGGCAGAAAACAACGGACATAGCGATAAGTACAATTTAACACTAATATAAATAAAGTTGTGATCCACAATTAATCCTAATGTTTGATTTGATGGATAGGGCTTCACCTTTTTTTATATGCTAGTGATGTTTTTCTTTGTTTTCTAATGTGAGAATTCTGACATGCCCCTTAACGTGGTAACTGGCCAGAATTAGGCCATGTTCTCCTCAACTTATTTTTTACTTATTAGTTATTCTTATTATAATCAGATCAAATCAGAAATAATTTTAAATATAACTACATTCAGATTAGTTCAGATTAGAACTTATTCCATTCAGATCAGAATCAACTAGATCAGGTGAAGAGTACATGATCTTAGTTAGTACTCTCTCCGTCCCAGAGTATTTGTCCAGTTTGACTTTTTCGAGTCAAGCTGAACAAACTTTGAGCTTCAATTAAATAAAAATCGTAAAGTATTTTAATATAAAAATGACTTTATTGGATTTATCGTATTGAGAACTTTCAAAATTGTATTTCATTATGCTAATATGTTATACAAATTGAGAGTAATTGAAGTTCAAAGTTTGTCCAGTTTGACTCGAAAAAATCAAACTGGACAAATATTTTAGGACGGAGGTAGTACTTAGACTAAGGAGTCTAACATCTCAATATTTTTTATACCTAGACACTCAACAAGCGGTGACATCTCAATTTTTTGTAGCCAACTCAACCTAAACCACATACAAGTATCTCATATTTTTAACTTCACGTCCAAACAATGAGTAAGAATCAGACTTGAACCAGACCTTATCTGATACTATGTTAAAATTCCAAGTATTAGTTTTTGAAAAAAATAACTTGCTCCACTCGAGGCGTGTAGAAACCTCCCGCTCTGATTTTGGACATGAATTCTCTGTCACCTCTTGTTTTTACAGAATTTTTTATATAGCTTTGAAGTAGGTAATTTGTATTCTTTATGCCTATACCAATTTATATAAAAAATTATTTTACAAAAATGAAATTTTTGCAATTTTTTTCAAATGAGAAAAATAATTTGGGATAATGGGAGTATGAAAAAAAAGATGAACTTCATCTCCGAGGGCGCCTCAAGACCGGCCATACGGATCTGAGAAAGGTAAATTGAGTTTTAATTACAAATTGGTGGCAAAATATTGTGTGTGGACCTGGTACTTGTAAATAGCCTACGCTTTTCATAGTCGACTCATAATATAATTATCAGAAATCGAATTCAGATGTTACTCTTTATACATCTTTTGTCTTGCCAGCAATGCAACACCCCCAACACAGATGCAGGGAGTATGAGGTTTTATAATTTATATTGTGTTTGGATGGTGAAAAATAGTGATAAAGAAAATGTTAGGTAAAAAACACAAATTTAAATCTAAACTTACTTGTTTGGATATGGGAGAAAATGGAGGGAGGAAAGAAAATAAAGAATGAGAAGATGTTAAAAGATTTCTCGCCATAAATGATGAGAAAATACATAAAAGAACATTTCTTCTCTTTTTCTTTGTCTTTTCATATTTTTTTCACCATTTTCTTATCATTTTCTATTCTTTCCTCTCATTTTCCTTCTTATCATTTTATCACCTATTCCAAACAAACCATCATTAAGGACAAAGGGTGTACATTTGAAGCATAAAAGAACACTTCAAAAGAAAATAATTCAAAAGGATGTGAAATAGTAGTACTTGGAATAGGTGAATAAATGAAGGTTGAAAGGGACGGTAGAAGGGGAAGGGGCCAGGGTGGGTTGGCTTCTTTTGGGGAAGTGGGCGGAGGAGGGTTTAGGGTTGACCAAACAGAGGCAATAATGGGGAGAGGAGAGGAGAGGACAATGAGTATGTTAGCATTGGAACGGGGAACACCCCATTCTTTGCCTATTTTCTTTCCCTATCTTGTGCTTGTGGTCCAACTCTACCAATTTTTGGATCTTTTAACTATTTACTTTTATCACTCTCAAAATGTTTTATATTTATAAAATTTGTACTAAATAATACTCTCTCTGTCCTAAAACTTTCTTCTCGTTGCGCAAAACGAAGAAAAATCTCAAGTTTTTTCAATATATTTTATTTAAATATTGGTATAGAAATAAAAAATAAAACATACATATTTAAAAACTTCATCAAAAGTTCAACAAAACAAGTGGTGACAAGAATATTTTATTTTATCATATAGGCCATGAAAAAACACAAATAAATATAAATTTCCGTGAAGTTGGAATAGTGCTCTGGAAAGAAAGTTTTAGGACGGAGGGAGTATTAAAGTACATATCTTTTTCTAATGTAATACTTAAAATTTTTTATTTTTTAAATAGTACTCCCTACGTCCTAAAACTTTCTTCCCAGAGTACTATTCCAACTTCACGAGAATTTATATTTTAGGACGGAGAGAGTATTAAAAGAATGGAACAACCTATTCTAGTATCCCCTGATGTCCGGCCTATTACATGGTGTTGAGTAGTGCTGTTTTAATATGTTTTTAGTATAAGCTGAAGCCATGGATGTATGAGGTAATCAAAAGGAGCACAGAGGTTGCATATAGTCAAGAGGACAACGATTATTAAGGATCTTAATGGGAGATCAGATTCGTTGGTCAGATTTTTTTAGTGAGGAGACCGTTGATGAGATAATTGGTAGTGGCAAGTAGACCATAACCGGAACAGATTATCCGAACCAAAGTATCCGAAACGGAAACCGAAATGACCCGAAAAATGAAGATCCGATCTATAACCGAAAACCCGAAATGATCCGAATCGAACCGAAACCGAACTAAATAATTCATATCCGATTTAAATCCAAAACCGATTAGATCCGAAACCGATAATATCCGAACCGATTAAACCCAAAACCGATTAGATCTGAAACTGATTAGATCCGAAACTGATTAGAACCTATATCGATAAATTTGGAACTATGTTTTCCTTTCAATAAGCATATTATATTTTTAATTTTTTAGTTTTATTTTACAATTTGAACTAATTACATTACTTGCTTATTCCCTCATAAAATGGATTATCTTCTTGAAAAAAGTACAAAATTTCATGTCTTAAATTTATTATATGTAGAAATTAAAGATAAGTTATATATATAAATAATAGCGCACAAATTAATAAAATTTCCGTAATTTTTAAATAGTGAAGTGTGATATTCTTTTTGAGACGAAATGATTATATGATGAATTGTATAGAATAACTAGATTTTATCCTGATTTCATCCCATTACAATAAATTTTATTGATTTGAGAGTTAATTTGATTAGTTTCAAACCAATTCACTCAATATTAGTCAATAAAATTAAATGCTAGTGTTAGCATTTTGAAAAGACTCTCTAGCAACAGCATTTAGTGTTATCATTTTCAAATTTGATCTACACCATTACATTTAGGTGTAAAATTAATTATATTTGACTCTATTAAATTTAATTTAATCTATTTTCAACAAAATACACTCAATAATTTATAAATTTTGCACTCAATTGAATAAAATTCACTTAATTCCACCCAATTTTACTCAATTTTTTACCAAATCATATTCATATGGAACATAACACTATTTGAATATATC